AATATCATCAAGAGGTTTACAGCCCATGGCACTGCAGCTAACCTACATGGATGGAAGAGCAAAATTACTGAAAAATCACAACAAAGGGTTGTTTGAATGATGGATACAGAACCTAGATTAACTTCCAAACAAATTCAAGCTGATCTGCAGACACAGGGTACAACAGTGTCAGCTCGCACTATCCATCACCATCTTAATTAAAAGGGACGCTATGGTAGGAGACCCAGGAAGACACCACTGCTGACACAAAGGCATAAAAAAGCAAGACTGAAGTATGCCAAAATGTATGTGACAAATCCACAATCCTTCTCGGAGAACATACCGTGGACAGATGAGACAGAAGTAGAGCTTTTTGGTAAAGGACATCATGGCACTGTTTACAGAAAAAGAAATGGGATATTCAAAGAAAAGAAGACAGTCCCTACAGTCAAACATGGTGGAGGTTCAAAGATGTTTTGGGGTTGCTTTTTTGCTTCTGGCACTGGATGCCTTGACTGTGTGAACAGTATTATGAAATCTGATGATTACCAAAGAATTTTGGGGCTCAGCATAATGGCCAGTGTCCGAAAGCTGCATCTCCACCAGAGGTCATGGGTCTTCCAGCAGGACAATGACCCGAAACACATTTCAAAAAGCACTCAGATATGGTTACAAACAAAGTGCTGGAGAGTTCTGAAATGGCCAGCAATGAGTCTGATCTGATCTCTCTTCTCTGTGGCGAGATCTCAAAACAGGAGTAGGGAGAAGGCATCCTTCAAATCTGAAGGCCGTGGAGAAGTTTGCAAAAAAAGTGTGGTCCAAAAGTCCAGTAGAGTGGTGTAAGAAACTCATTCATGGTTACAGGAAGCTATTGATGTCATTTTTTCCCCAAAGGGGAAAAGGGGTGTGCTACCAAATATTAAGTTAAGGGTACCAATAATTTTTGCCAGCACATTCTTGGGTTTCTGTGTGGGATTGAATCAGATTTGACTTTTCTTCTCTGGTTTGTGTGTGTGTGTGTGTGCGTGTGTTGTTCCAATGCAAACCAAAGAAATGAATATGTGATACCAAACATTTGCAACTGCAACCATTTTCTGAGCGAAGGGTTGCATTTTCTGACAGAATTGCAAGGGTGTCAATATTTTTGGCCATGACTATAGATCCCTGCTCTGGAAGACAGGCTGGTGTTTTTTGTAAATCCTACAATATATGATTTTCAAGTGAAGTTCACACTGGAATTTTAAAATTTTTGCAATTCCAAACTCAGCTGTATTACATCTACATCGCTGTAGGTAACATCGCTTCTTGTCTGTTCCTAACATTGCTAGCCTGTAGTCAGTTCAGCTGTTCTCTGTCTTCTTTTATCTTTCTAAATCACAATGGATTAGTAATATGAACAGTCTACAGTAGATATGAGTGTAGAATCTATAGCACTTTATTTCAGTCATACTCTAATTCGGGTTTGTTATTGATCTTTTTTTCTTAATTACTTTCCAAAAGATGAATATGATTTGCCACACTTTATCTAATGCCTTGTAATAATTTTAAAAAACACTATACAGAATGTTATTGCCTTTTTACAAGCTCTCAAAACACATTCTTCTCTCCTCATTTCTAGAAAATGTTTTTTATTTGTGGTGACCTGAGATGATGGAATTCATTTAAAAGTTTATTTAGAGACTAAATGAGAAATGGACAGCTAGGCTGTTACTGTCCCTACTGACCAGAATGCAGTTTAGACTGACCTTTTAAATGATTTGGGATGCCAGTTGGAACTTGGTTGGAAACTATAAGCGCTTATATCAGAATCTTCTGCAAATTTTTTAAAGTAAAAAGATAAAAAGCTGTTTCCCTGTAGAAAATTAAAGAAATGTTTGGCATTTAATTATGTTAAGAGTTAAAAAAAAATGTTGTGACACCCCACACTCATTCTTTTATGTTAAGAAATGTATGTACAGAAAAGGACATGATTAATTCAAAGGGGATTATGCATCTTTAGAATTTGCAGGCTCTTGCTATGAAATGATTCAGTTAGTTCTGATTTTGGAAATTAAGGAACTGGAAAATATTTTCAAAGAAGTACTTTTAATAAGATTGTGTTGATTTATTAACAGTGTGGTCACTTCAAGGTGAGACATCTTTGTTTCTTTCATAGAGGAGTTTCTGAAGAGAAATAATTCTGTAGCCTTAACTACCTGGTCTGCTTTTGTCTTTCAGAATATGACAAACTGGGATTTCTCCTAAAGTTGGATTCCAAACTGTGAGTAAAACTATGGAAGGGTTTTTTGGGGCAGGGGGAAGTGGGTGATCTGAAACTATTCATTTTTTCTGTAGACAAAACAAATTCTCCTCCTGGATATGTAGATAATACTTCCTAATCAGTGCCATAATAGCAGATGTGACTTCTTTTTAACCTACTGCTTCATTCTTAATCAACGAAAAGGGTTCTGAACAACATATGTTTGGTTCTTAACGGCTCATGTACAATACAATGGTATATTGATAAAGTTTGAAGCAGAAGTACTCATTCTGACCAAAGCTGGAAATTAACTACAGGTAATTGCAAAAGCAAAGTGTGCTGCTTATATACTGCCCCATAGACCTTAAAGAACTCTTTGGGCAGTTTACAATTTAATTATGTAGGCTACACATTGCAATTACAATTAGCAACATTATCTGTAACAAGTTACTTATATGTCTGGTGAAGGTGGAATGGTGTGCTTTCTTGTGACTAATGGATCAAGAAGCAAAACTGGGAAAGGGTTTGATCTTGCTGTTTAGCTTAACACAAGATAGTTGGAAAGGACACCACTCTGTCTTTTACTTAAAGAAGGTGTCCTTCATTGCTCATATCACCTCAGCACTCTGTCTCCTGCGATGCTACTTAAAACAAGATCCTTAATCAGTCCCTCCTTTTCTTCTCAACAGGGCATTAGAAAGTTAGCATGATGTAGCACTCATCAGAATTAGAAAGTGCTTCACTTCCCTCTCACAATTTGTTATGGGTCCCTGCTGAGAAGGAAGTGACTAATTTTTGGTTGTTGTGGGTTTTTCGGGCTTTTTGGCCGTGTTCTGAAGGTTGTTCTTCCTTACGTTTCACCAGTCTCTGTGGCCGGCATCTTCAGAGGATAGCATTCTGTGATCCTCTGAAGATGTCCTCTGAAGATGTCCTCTGAAGATGCCGGCCACAGAGACTGGTGAAACGTAAGGAAGAACAACCTTCAGAACACGGCCAAAGAGCCCACAACAACCATTAGATCCCGGCCGTGACAGCCTTCGTGAATACATTGACTAATTCTTATTTTGAACGACTTTGCATAGGAGAAAAGATCCTTCACTATGCACCATGGGGCCTCTTTAATAAAAGCTAAATAACCCCCTCAGTCATCTAAGGTAAATAGCACCACCTCCCTCTCACCAAAAATGATGGATAAAGGTGATGAGTAATAGAACGGGTAAAAAACCATTGGTTTAAAAAAAAAAAGATAATGGCAATTATAAAAGGGTGAATGACCCTCCTCATAAGAAGTAATTAATTGCTTTCTAAAAGTAAGGTTCCAAACTCTGATCTTGATGTTCCCCATAGCTGTGCACCCAAGGAGAATCTAGAATACAGGAAGCAGTACTGATCCCAACATGACACTTTTCCCATCTGTATCATCACAAGAGTGAGTCTTTTGGAAAGCTAATGGGTTCCACTTGCTCAAACCATTCCAAATAACTGGGATATCTCACAACAGGATATTGTTGTAGAAAAAATTAATATCTTCCCCAAGTCCTGCAAGATACTGTGAAGATCACAGCTGAGCTCAGAGGGAATAGGGAGGTCTAAGAAGGTGGCAAATGATCTATCGTCCCTGCTAATCAAAGGCCAAAATACTATTTCGTACTTAAGCCTGTGGAAAGCAAACAGTGAATCTCACAGTGGTTTCTTGCCGCTGATCAATGATTCCCCACTTGAATTGCAAATGGTTTGGTGCATTGCCCCAAAACTGATGTGGAGAATAGTTAACTCCTAGTGAGGAGCTGCTGCAAGTTACAGTGTTTGCCTTCTGCGATATGATTTTGGGCAACAGTGCCGAAGCTCTGAGTATGGTTCCATTCTATCACTAGTCACATGATGATCTATTCAGAAATAAGACCAATTGTTTTCAGTGGAACTTAGTCATCATAAATGTGTAAATTATTGAGTCTAAACCTATAATTCTGCATACTGTATACATAAACTGGGATTAATTTCAGCTGAATGCTGTGTGTGCACAAGGGTTAGTCTGTGTGAGTGAATAACAAACAGTGGTCGTAAAAAACACTTTTCACCTTGGCTTCCGTGGGTGATTAAAAAATAAAATAACTTTTTTTTGGTGAAAATAACAGATAGCAGCCCTCCACATGGGTTTAAAGGAACAGCAGCCCATTTTTTTTTTAAAAAGAGATATGAATGCTGGCATAATTGGACTTGATTAATAGTGTCAAAGTTGAGAGGTCAAGAGTGTAATAAATTAGTCAGTAAACTGCTATTGCGCTGCCATAGGTTAAAGACCTAAGAGTTGATGGCTAGGAACCTAATGGTTCTTTATGCTGGTGTAAGTAAGTGCCTTGGAGCCAAGGGCTGAGACTTTGATTCCTCACTGCGTTCCCCACAGGGGAACAGCCAGTCTGTATGGCCTTGGGCAAACTGCAGTGTCCCAGAGTGCCCCAAGAAGAAAAGACGGGAATGGTAAACTACTTCTTAGTATTTTCTACCTGGAAAATCCTGAAAAAGGTCACCATAAGTCAGAATTAAGTGCAAAACAATGATATAAATCACAGTGGAAAATAAATAGTTAATGAGTTGCCACGTATATTTTTATTTTGTCAAGTCACATGACTGGCAGGAATATAAACAGCAACTTAATTAATTTGCTGCTTTAGTTTTATGTCATAGTATTTATGGTGGCATAAGCAATGATAGTCAGTGGGATTTTAGCTGTTAGGTTTCTACTCAGGACAACTTCACATGTTCATTGGATAAAGATACACCGATTGTAAAAGCTCCTTGTTCCTTCTGCATGATAAGGTGCTTTTCATCACCACTACACTGGGAAAAGAAGCTTTGCATGAATTTCTCCCTGGAAGTGCAGAAGTCATTACAGATGAATACAGTACTTCCTGAAACAGAAGCAGACTATTCCCTAACAGATGTTACACATATTCCTAAGGAAAGTAAGAATGCTAAGGACATACTGACTTGTTTGAAAAATGCAGCAATATGTGTAGAGCTTTTTGAAAAATTACCATTTTGAACTATAAGTTCTAGAAGTGCCCACTAAGCATTGCTGCTGACCATGCCGGCTATGAAAATTTTAGTGATGGAGGGATGATGGAGGGATGAGTAGCCTTCCCAAGCTCTGGACAAATGTAGTTAAACTTGATTTCTTCAATTGTGAATGTTCTACATATTTTTTTTAAAAAAATAATCACTCAAAACTGCAGTTTGACAACTTCCAGCAAGTAGATATTATATTGTGCTTTTTCTTTTAAAGACAATGACCTGCTTGAAGGGGGTTGTATTTGCTTAAAGAGAGATGGTTGTTTTTTTTTTTTGTAAAGAGGTAGGTAGAACAGTAATACTGAATTATTTTGTACAGTATTCTTCCCTAATTAACTGCATTGTAAAAATTTTATCTGTTATCTGTTGAATATCAAAGCTGAAAATAATAGATATATTATAGAATATTATATTATAAAATAATATAATATATATAATCTTGAAGCTATCAGGAAAACTTTATATGACCTGCTTTCCTTTGATCTTTCAGCTATGAAGGACACTAATCAGCACAAGGCTCCTAAATCAACATACTCATATTTTTTTGTTCCAATGAAGGCAGCAAAGAGTAGGTACAAAAATGGAAATGTGAACAGAAATTTTGCATATTGTCAGGAAAACCGGGGGAAAGAGTTAAAAGCTAAATCCTCCGCAAAGCTTAACAAGGAAGATAATACTGAAGCAGGGAGAGGTTCAGAGTAGCAGGCATCTGGGTACACTGCCACATGGATATTATGTCCTGCTTGATGGCCCTGTTGAAAGAAATGGTTTCATTATATGGCTGTTTTATAGATGCAATTGTCCCTGTAGAATACTGCTGTTGATAAGGAGCTCTGTAACAGTGTCTTAATTGGTGATGGTGTGTTTATCTTTGAAATGGCAACAGAATCCAATTACGTACAACTTACTGTACTTGGATAGTAACTATCTTTTCCCCAACAAAGATATAATAGAGAAACAAAATTTCTTATTTAGACTAGCTTTTGAATAATGCATATTCTTTGGTTTATAGCCAAGATGCAACTATATCTGGAAAATTACTCAACTGGTATAAATGTAAAGGGGTATTTCACATTTGACCGTTTATGATTTTCTTTTTCTTGTGCCTGCTGCTCATGTTGTTGATGCCCAGCTTGTGCTATTTGCTCTGATGTCATTCATAGCAAGATGATGATTAGCTCATATTATTCTGTAGGATTCATGGGAACTGAAAGGAAACGAAAAAGAGGCCTTCAGTGAGTCAAGGGGAAATATATATTAAGAATGAGTTCTGTATGAAACTACAGAAGGTCTCAGATTGTTCAATTGAAAAACTGTAAAACCGTGTTCTCACTGAGAATGAAGATGTGGAATACAGATCAATGGGCAGCTCTATGTTGTTTTAAACTATGTCATAATTTACACTTGAGCTTTAATCAAACCAGCAGTTGTTGTGTACATTGACAGACTAACTATAAACCACTCTGGACATGTGTAAATTATAGCACGTTGTAGGTTATAGACCTGAGTCCTGACCTATATAAAATTTGCTTGGCTCTCATTCTTTTATCCAACTAGTCATTAGAAGAGAAACTTCACATTAGCAGTCTATGATTAATTAACACCATAAAAATTGCAGATGGCAACATTTCTGCAGCACACTGCCCAAAGCAAAGAAATATTATGAAGAATGTTATGAAACACTAGATGAGGGAAGAAGAAAAAGGAAATTGCAATATTTAATTTGCTGCCCTATTAGTGATTTGCTATGTCACAGCAAGGTGTGTATATTAGAGATGGGAGCTTTGTATTTCTATATGAATATGAAGCCCCCATCTGTAGTACAGTGGTGCCTCGCTTAACGAGCACCCCGTTTAACGACGAATCCGCATATCAATGCGGATTTTGCAATCACTTTTGCGATCGCATTGCGATGTTGATTATGGGGAAAAATCACTTTGCGATTTTTCCCC